AAATTCCCGTGGTCTCCTCCCCCAGCTAAGTCGATGCCTGCAATGAAAGTGACTTCCTGCTGTCTCCCACGCTACACGCATCACCTGTGAGCTCTGCGCCACTCATTTCTTATAAACTTGAAAGGTATTTTTGTAGTCCTGGGGTTTAGTAATTTTGTAATCAGTTTGTGGGCGTTAGAGCTTCCGTGTCTGTCTAACGCTGCAGCCTCACAGAGGTTTGTGGAACGCTACTCCATGTGTAATCTTGCTATTTTGCTGCTTTTTTTTTTTTTGCTTTTTCTTTTTGTTTTTTTTTCTCTCAATAGCAGTTGTATGTTGTAAACACCAGAGCTGTGGTTGATAAACTTCATAACAGGAGATTTGTGTTAGTGTGTTTTATGTTGACTGCTGGCTTGTTAAATATTGACTGGGTACTTTCAAATGTGTCTGTTACACTCTGCATAAATTTGCCTTTATGTGTAACTGTGTATTCCTCAGGGTGTGCGAACTCAAAACATGTGGTACCTCCTATTACTGATGCTGTGCCTATATTTGTTATATGGCATCCAGTAACTTTGGGGTTTTATGTTCTGTCCTGGCAGGCTGGTGCATGGAGTAGTCCCATGTGCCTGTCAGCTCTGCCTTGGTCATCTCTTCTCTTTGGGAAGGATAGATATTTATTACCTTCACGCTAATTAATGCAAGGAGAAGCCTTAAGGAGGGCAAAGCAGTCTGTAGCCTTCCTGCAGAATAATGAATTGAGGCAAAGCAGGGAGAGGAAGTTGAGGACTTGCCTTTGTCTGAAACGTGGTATTTTGTCTCGTGATTATCTTCTTCCACCTCTTTTTCTACCCGGTGATGAAGAGGTCTGGGCATTGTAAAATATGACTCTTGGCAAGGAAGTGATTGGTACCAGTGGATGCATCTTTCCTGATTGCTCCTCTAGGAAATGACTCCACATCTCAGAATTACTGAGGGATTATGGAGCAATTGTCCACTACTAGGAGGTTTTGCTGCTTGTTGGACTGGTCTGAACCAGAGGCGGGGGCAGTATGGAATGGGTCAATGTGTATTTCATTCCTAGTTTCCTGAGAAAGTCTGTCTTGCACAGATTTTCACTTTCCCCTTACAAAAATATTTCATAGTGCAGGATTACATATGAAAAGGGGAGTATACTTGAATTCTGTGGGAATTGTGGGGAATAGCTTCATGTTTGGATCCATGGAAATCTATTGTTGGGCGTGTGCTTGATGCTTTGGGACCTGTGTTGTGTGACAGCATGCATTTCTCTTCCTCTTACACGCTCTGAGAAGTCTAAAGCGATACTGTGCTGTGCAGTTTGAGAGCTTGTTTATCTGCAGACTGAAAGATGCAGCTGTGATGGCCCCGCACAGATGGTAGTCACAGCCCATGCTGTACATCAGCCAGTCCGCACGCTGCTTGTCCCACTGCTGGGCTCTCCTGTTGGGTTGGGGCTGGTCACTCCTCACATTTTCTTAGCAAGATCTGAGGTTCCCATCAAGTGTGCTTGCTTCTTTTGGGAGAAGAGCTTCCATTACTGCTTCCCTGTGGGATAGAAAGAGTGGTTCTTTCTTTAGGGCAGCTGAGGCCGTGCGCGTCTTGGGAAACAACAGAATAATGTTTTGAGCAAACTGCATCTTGTTTTCATGTGCCAGCGGCACTGCCAGCGAGATGCTGCCCCGGCAACTCCTGCCTGTGCGATACCCTTTCCTGGAGTCAGTGCGCTTGCAGGGCTTGTAGACAGCCTGTCACTCACAGCCTTCACAGCTTGTGCTCTTAGGTGTCCTGCCCAAGCACGTACAAACCACGGGGCGGTTTTTAGGTAGGCTTGTGTAGAAGCAGGCCCAGAAAAAAATTGCTGCCTGAGATGAATGAGGAGGTGTTTGAGGCCCTGACGTTTCTTCAAATGTTCTGTGCGTACCTCCAGTTCAGGGGCTGCATGAAGTTCACAGAGCAATATACTTCGCCCGCAGGAGGGCCACGTCCCTGACTTGGGTGTACACCTTGTTATGACTTGTTTGGCCACCCAAACAGATCAGCTGGCTGGTCAGTCTTGACGTCTATCTCTCTTGGATGGAATGTATGTAGCATCAGCTGTAGACCAAGAGCTTTGTGCATTCTGGTTGCCTGTTCTGCTGCTTAGGCCCTGGGGTGCCAAGCACCATGGGCATCCTGTCCTGCTAAACTGTCTGGCATTCTTGGAGTCGGAAGGCAGCAGCGTGCCTGCCTTGCACTTGAAGCAAGTGTTTGAGGGTTGTGGGAGATGTGGCTGGTGGGGAAGGAAGAAGTATTATAGGAAGATGTAGGTGGGGGAATGTGGAAGTATTCTAGCAAGAGAGACCTTATAGCAGCCTTGCAGTACCTGAAGGGAGCCTATAAGAAAGCTGGAGAGGGACTTTTTACGAGGGTATGTAGCGATAGGACAAGGGGTAATGGCTTTAAACTGAAAGAGGGTAGATTTAGATTAGATGTAAGGAAGCAGTTCTTCACTATGAGGGTGGTGAGGCACTGGAAGAGGTTGCCCAGAGAAGCTGTGGATGCCCCATCCCTGGAAGTGTTCAAGGCCAGGTTGGATGGGGCTTTGAGCAACTTGGCCTAGTGGAAGGTGTCCCTGCCCATGGCAGGGGGCTGGAACTGGATGACCTTTAAGGTCCCTGCCAACTCAAACCATTCTATGATTCTATGTTTTGGGGTGTATTGCAGTTGGAAGAGTGAGGACTGGGGGCGTCTTACGGTAGAAAGTGGGTGGCTGCAGCCCGGTGTTGATAAGCAGGGGTCTTTGAAAGCGTATGTACTTGCTTGAAGTTGGTTCTGTGGGTTTGCATCCCACTAAAACACAAACTTCTCTCACCCTTGCTTGCCCTAGCTTTGAGAGATACGCAAGTTGTGCAGTGAACTAATTTCTGTCAAGTGTGGTGGGTTGATTAACTTGAACCTCGGGCTACCAGATCTACAGGTCAGAACCCTACCACAATATGGGATTTTTAACAACAATCTGTCTACCCACCAGGGTGAAAGTCTGAGTTGATTCTGGGGCTTTTAAAAATTGACAGCTGCGGTAGGGAATTCTTTTTTTAAAGACCGCTGCAGTGAAAGACAAAGAGTATATCTCAAACAACCCCAGTAGCATAAATCCTGGCAAAAAGGAGTGATGCTGCATTTGGCTGTTCACAAATGGCAAAATGACCCAGAGCAAAAGGGAATTGTAATTACTTTTACTCATGAGGTCAAGATAGTGCAAGTTAAGTTACAGCCTGGAGAACTCTTGTTCTAATTTCCCAAGGCAAAAGGGAAGATGAAAGTGGGGTGGTGCAGGAGTGTTAATCTGTGCAGAGCTTGCTTCATGTAAAAACTGTCACACTGGATCAGATCTGAGGTCCAACCAGTAGAGCATTCTGAATTTAGCAATGGGAAGGGGAGAGGCTTGGTAAACAAAGTATCAGAGGCAGTGCAAGTCCAGAGCTATTTTTCCTTTGGCATATCCACTCCAGGTTCTGTTGGAAAAATCCCTCTACATCAGGATATAATCAGTGAGTTTGGAAAGACCAGGTATTGAGCATCTTGAAGTTGACATTGTAGTGCTGATAGCTTAGACAGGTACTTCAGGTACTTCATATCTGCTGGGATGTGGCATCAGGTAGAAATCCTCAGCAGAAAGAAGCAGTTCAGCCGTTGTTGTGTCTTCCATCTCTGCTGGTCAGCAGAGTCGTGGTAGTTTGCTGCTTTTGTTACCATTGGGAAAGGCTGAGGTAGCAGATATTCTACAAACTTGCTGGTTTTATTGATAATGAGCAGAAGATGAGGCAAGGTTGTTTTGCTTTATTCAAACTTGTAAACCTTGCCTCCTCCCCTTTTTACTCCCCTCCCTCTTAAGGCACATGGGTGGTTTTGTGGTCTCTGTATCCGGTCTCTGTGTGATACAGCATGTGCTCTGAGGAAGCAGGACAGATAAAACATAGCTCATATTTCTGGGAATCCTTACCTCACTGCTGATGGGGAAGTGTTGTGCTCCCAGGCACGGGCAGATAAGGTGCTGGGCTTCTTGTCGTACTGAAGCATAGGGCTGGCCCATGAGAAGCTGCCAGCAGGACTTCATGATTTGGGAGACCCAAATCTTCAGCAGCGTGTTGCTCAGTATCTTTCTAAGTTTGTACACTGTCTGACAGCTGCAAAGACATATTTTTAAGTTGTGAATGAGCAAATTTTGTACCGGTTTCATGGGCTGAGGGTAAGTGATACTGTTAGAATTGCCCAGGACACGTACAGGGCTGAATTTAGAACCAGCAAAAAGTCAGACTGGCAGGAGGCTGAAGCCTTGGTTTCCACAGCAGCTACGAGCCATGGCTATGTGAGCGCCTTCCAGGCTGTACTACTGGCATGTTTTTCTGCTGACCTGATGGAAAAACGGCCTGGTAAGTGAGAGGGAATTTAGGTGAGCTGGTTTCTCTGCTGAGGTGGTTGAAGGGAGTTAGAGCCACTTACCCGTGTCTTGCTAGGAGCTAGTGCTAACAGCTCCAAGCTCTTCTTGCTCATGGGGACACCACACTCTGCCGCCTGTCATCTGTGTGGGAAACTGGATCCAGTTTTATGGTGCTGCATTATTTCGCTTGCAGGCAAATGGATGGAGCGTGAGGGTTTCTCTGCCTTTGGTATTGCATGTCTTTAAGAAAGAAACCATACGATAGGCTTCTGCTGAATGCCTTTTGTTTTAGCTGTTCATGTATGCGCTTATCCTGTGTTTGAAAACAACAGTTTGTACCTGATAGCATTCAGATTATTATTGTCTTATTTGTGTTCTTTGGATGTACTGAGAATAATTTGTAGAGCCCTGCCAAGTGAAAGGATGCAGATGGAATTAACAAACCTATTTTGATTGCCTCAACCTTAGATTTCATTTTTCCTGTACTTGCAGAAGGGGGCTATACAGTGGAGTATTATTTGTTTGTGTGTATAAAAATGCATGCATACTCAGAACCAGCAACATCTCTTTCTCCCTCTTACAGACTGGAACTGAGCTCTGGAAAAACAAAGTGGAGCTTGGAGCATGTGGCCTGAGGATTGCCTTACAAAGCCAGGGGTAGGGACTCACTGTTTCTGTTGGCTGCTTGGTCGTAGATGAGCTATCGGGACAAGTGCCTTTGTTCTCAAGTGAAGATAATTCTTTAAATTCTTTGTCAAATACAGATGTAGATGTTAATCCCGGTCTAGAAGAGATTAAGAAAGGGTTGCATTGAAATAGAAGCGAGTTCTATAGCAAGAATGCCTCTGTGGCTTAAAGGCACTGGACTGGAAATTTGACTAAGGTGCATATTTTCCTGAGCTATGAGGATATGCTAACCTTCCTTTCTTTGGGTCCTTTTGCACATTAACTTTCTACAGAGCCCAGCACAGATCTGGGGAGATACTATGTAGTCAACAGCAACAGACTTTTTTCCCTTTTCTTGCAGGTGGTAGCTAAGAAGTGAGCAGGATGCCCCCAGGCATCTACTGCCCTATGGAATTCTGGTCCAAGGGGGAAAACCAAAACATCCAGGTGGACTTTCTGCTGCCCACAGGCATATATTTAAACCTCTCTGTGTCCTGCAATGCCAGCTTGGGCACCATCAAGCAGGTAACAGCCTTGTTCCACAGTCTGATCTGCAATTCCTGGAACAAGGAGTCTGTTTTTGGGGAGCATCTGGGGAAATGTGTTGGGGCTTAACTCAGTGCAAGTTGGGTTTCTTCGGCATTGCTCTCAGGCAGCTCTTCGTGGCTCACTGTGAGAGCCCCTCCTTCGTGACAGCCTCTGCAACGCATTAAACTCACATCCAGCCGCTGAGACTGCCAGCAGCAGGGTGCTGGTGCCAGTGGTGTCAGGCTTGATCCTCTGGGTACTTGTCCAACCTTGGGGTGAGAATTAGAGTAACTACGGAGCGAGGGCAGATTTGAGTTGGCCACGCAGGGTTCATGGACTGTGTGTTCAATTACTGCTCACCTGACCCAACCAGTCCCCACGCTGGATTTTTCATTACGAAAGCTCTTGTGTATGCATATGCAAGTAAGAGAAGTCACCCCCAAATAGTCAAATACAAATGCTGGACTGACTCAAAAGTATTCAGGATGCAAGCCCAGCCTTCTCTTGCCTCACAGAAACTGAATACTGAAAATTTGGAACAGGAATGATAGAGAGGATTTTTCTTAGTGCTTCATTTGAGGAATAAAATGCTGTAGTGAAACCACATGTAAACAAAATGTAGCTGCTTCCTCATTTCCCTGGGCGGGAAGCAGGGGCAGGGGAGAGTGAAGGAAAACAGTGGGAAAGGTTTTCTTTGCAGCAGCAACCTGGCCTAGATGAGTCACAGATCACAAGGGACAGAAGCACAGTGCCAGATTATTCCAAGTTTTCTCATGCTGCAATTTTCAGGTAAAAAAACCCAAACCCAACAAAAAAAACCCCGTTAAGTAGAGCTGATTGGTTCCAGCTGTTAAGTTACAAGTCTGTGTTTTGCAGCCAGTAGGCATGCTGGCTCAGCCCAGAGGCCCATTTATTCCGGAGTTTTGTCTCCTATAGCAGGCGCTTAGGATGAGAGTGAAGAAATGGAATATGAACAGTCATGTGGCAGTGCCGTCCACTGGGAGCGAAGGATCTCTGGGAACTGGATAGTGTTGAGAAGACTTCAGAAAAGTTCTTGGCTCTTGTCACAGATTTCACATTACTGGGAGCGAGTTACTTATCCCAATTTTGCTTCCAGTGGGAGTAATACCTCTCTTTCACAAGGCTAGCAGTCAGCAGGTACTTACTGTGAGGTATTTAGGTGGGAGGTATTTAAATACTGAGGTTGAGGGATTTACTTTACCTGAAACAAATGGCAAGCACGAAAAAAAAAAAAAAGTCAGTTAAAGGCATTTGCAGATAAATCTATCCAGCAGTTCAGCACGAGTTGGAGCCACCAGACTTGGCCGAAAAGCAGCCTGTGATTGCAGGCCCAGGAATGCTGTGAGAGGGCTTGGCTGTGCATTGCCTTCGCTAAATGGTGTATCTTGGGAGAGTGAAGTTGTGGGGTGACAGTAAGAGGAAGACGAGGTTCTGGCCGTGCAGCGGTAGTTTCACCCTGCTGTTGGTCTGGCGCAGGTGGTGTGGAGGCATGCTCAGTATGAGCCGCTGTACCACATGCTCAGTGATCCCGAGGCCTATGTCTTCACGTGCATCAACCAGACAGCAGAACAGCAAGAGTTGGAGGATGAGCAACGGCGGCTTTGTGACATCCAGCCCTTCCTACCGGTACTGCGGCTCGTGGCTCGAGAAGGAGACAGAGTCAAGAAGGTTATTAACTCTCAGATCAGCCTGCTCATTGGAAAAGGTCAGTTCCCCTATCATGGGCATCGGCAGGGGTGTTGGCTGTAGGTGAAATGTGCTTCTGTCCCAGACAGCCTGGCTACGTATGGAACAGTGATGGAGCCCTGCTTATGCAGGAGATGAAATTAGCAAGTTGGTCTCTGATCTGGGAAGGGAACAGTGTGTCTGCAGACCCAAGAAGGGTGATCTTTGATCTGGTAAGGGACCAGTGTGTCTGCAGACCCAAGAAGGGTGATCTTTCCTGCTGGCAGAGGGCTACAGTAATGGAGTCCGTGCAGTTGTACATAGTAAATAAGCAATCATTAGTAGCTTGGCTGACCCTTGTCCTTTTGGCCAAATACTAAGCATGTGTTTAGGAAGACTGTTTCACAGACACTTGATTATCAAAGGCTGATTTCCCCCACTGGGTGCAGATGCTTAGTCTTTCTCTCTTACTCTCCACTTAGGTTTGCATGAGTTTGACTCTGTTCAGGATCCAGAGGTGAACGATTTTCGCACCAAAATGTGCCAGTTCTGTGAGGAGAGAGCAGCAAAGCGGCAGCAGCTCAGCTGGGCAGCTTGGATGGAGTACAACTTCCCCTTGCAGCTGGAGCCTATGGCCAAAGGCCTTGGGACTGGCCCTCTACATACCCCCACCAAGAACATTTTTGTCAATGTCAAGTTTCAGTCTGGCGGGGTAAAGCACAAAATTTCTGTGACAATGTTTAACTGGTTTGTGCTTTCCCTTTGGGAACCTTTGGGCATTTGGAGACAGAATAATGTGTGTGTGGACAGTGTTTCCATGTGTTCAGTGTTCATCTTCATTCTCCAGATTCCTTTGCCTGTGGAGATGGTTGGGAGGGAGACTGAGCCTCCAACCAAGGGAGCTGTTCCCCTTCTTGAACATGCGTTGGGTGTACTGGTTAGCTGGTAGCTGAGGTTGCTGCATGCACATGTGGTGGTGGAAGGCTTTTTGGTTTTGGGTAGGAGAGGAGCACAGAATCCAATATGTGCCTTTCCTTTTGAAGCCCAAGAGTCTGCTCGGCTCATGCTCAGCATACACTGCTTGCAGGCGTCGGTCTGAGTTGCCCATGGGCCCCTGTTCTTGCCTGCTACCCTTGGTTAATGTGATTTTTGCATGTTGTGCCTTGGGCATGAAGCAGGAGCCACCCCCGTAGGAGAAGGGCCTTCCAGAGCAGTGTGTTTGAGCATGGTGACCCTAGCCACCCTCTGCCTTGCTGGTGGAATGACAGTGGGAAGATTTTTAATAACTAGCAACCATGTGAACTGGTGATTCTGCTTAAACTGGACTTGAAGTTCCTGTTTTCCAGCCTTGCGCTTGCGCTGCTGAAACATGCTCCTGCCCAGTTTGGCAAGCATCCCTACTTATTTGCTAATATGTGTGTGTGTGGGGGTAATGCTGCCTTCCTACCCTTCTCTGTTGTCAGCAGCAGGAATGTCGTTACCTATCCACTGAGCTACTGCTGCTCCTTGTGCTGATCTCAGCCCTTTGCTGGTGTTTGACAGTGTATGCTGTGTTGTTGGGATTGCAGGAGAGCTTCACTTTCCAGATCTCCCCAAAGGAGTTCCCCATCACATTAATGAGCTATGCTATCAAGAAGCAGGCTACTGTCTTCCGCCATGAGACAGTGGAGAACCCAGAGGACTACACCCTGCAGGTGAATGGGAAATGTGAATATCTCTATGGGAACCACCCCCTGTACCAGTTCCAGGTGAGCCTTGTGTCTTGCTTTTCTCAATGAGTCTGTTCCCATATGGCGTCCCCTTGCTGGGAGGGTGGACTGAGAAGTGTTATCCTCTGTCAAGGAGGCAGTGCATTTTACAGGAATGCAACACATCAATGGCAGGACCTGGATGCTACTTAGGGCAAAGGATACTTCTAGCAACCTAACAGATCCTTACGTTTTTGGGGGCTTGTGATCTAAGCCCGTCCCTGGGTACCAAATGCTGTGTAAATGCATTTATAGATCATGGTTCTGGAAATGTCTGTTTGCTTGCATGGCGGGCTGGGGGTTCTCTTGCTGAAAGTTGGGCAAGTAATCCTGTATCCTGTGTTCCCCTGGCAGGGCAAGCTGCTGTTGGGAGTGCTGAATCCTTCTCAGTGTTTTCCCTTAATGCAGCCATTTGAGTCAGTTGATGAAATGCCAGCTATAAAAGGCACTTCATATTCTCAGTTCTGGCAACATGAGTCCAGTGAGTTGCAGCTCTATAAAGCAAGAGGAGATAAATTAAAACTGAGTTTTGATTGTTGCTGTGTCCTTTCCCTGCTCCTCTTCCCACTTGTTTCTGCTTCAGCCAGTTCTGATTTGCTTGACTGCTCTTGCCTGCCTGGCTCTGTTTTGTCCGTGCTGACTCTGCCCTCTCTTTGCAGTATATTCGCAGCTGCCTGCACCGGGGCCTGACGCCCCACCTGACCATGGTACACTCCTCCACTATCATTGCTATGAGAGACGAGCAAGCCAACTGTATTGCCAGCCCCCCGAAGATGGCTGCCAAGCCTCCCCCACTCCCTAAGAAAAAGGTAAAAGGGGACAGTGACCCAGCGGGGTCACCCTCGGCATATCCATTGATGGAGATGCTGATCTTGTCTGGGACAGCAGCTGGTTCTCCCTGCTTTTCTCAGGACAGGTTCCTAGCCAGGATCTAAGAGCTGGGAATGTCCAGTCAGCCTTCCAGCCCCCCCCAAACTTCCCTCATCGTCACAGACTTCATGCTGCCCATCTGCGATGCAGTGCTCTTTTCTGTTGGAGCAAAAAGCACGTGATGAGAGATGAGGTCTGGTGCTGGCTTGAGAAGTCTTTGTTGCATCTATTTCTGATCGGAACCCTTTTCTCTTTCTAGCCAAACTATGGTTCTCTCTGGTCCTTAGAGCAGCCTTTCTACATTGAGCTGGTGCAAGGCAGCAAAGTCAATGCAGATGAGAGAATGAAGGTAGGTACTGACTCAGTTTGGGGTTTTGGTTTTGTGTTTTGGCTTTCCCAGTTGCATCTGTCTTGTTTGTGTGGTGAGGAAAGCAGCAGCCAACAGCTTGTTCTCATCTGATCCTCCACTGTGCTTCGTTCAGCCTTTGGGCAGTTTCTAAACTGCAGCACAACAGGAAGGGGAAGGGAACTTGCTAGCCAGCAGCCCAGCAACGGAGCAATGCATTCTTAGAAACACTCCCCTGCAAAAGTTTCTGAGTAGCAAGCAGAGCTGCTGCTCTGTAGTGATACCGCTTGACAGTGGTGCCGAGAGGCAGGGAAGTCTGCAAAAAGCAGAGGAGAGGAAATTCAGGTCTGAGAAGAGAGAATGATGGGAGAGGCGGTGACTGGTAAAGCATGATGTAGCAAAGCCCTGGGATTTGCAAGGTGTTTGCCATGAAGCAGGGAGCAGGCGAATGAGGAGAAGGGGAATGGCTGCCCTCTGGGAAAGGAAGGAAACGGGGCAAGTATATATCGCATATACTAGTGTTCTGCAGGGCGAGGCTTTATAAAGGCAGGTGATGAATTAGTCATTTCTTCTGCCCAGTGCCCCATCATTTGCAGGGAGCTTCTCCTGGGGAGGACTCCTGTGACTCAGACTAGCCAGCAATACTGTGACAAGAGGTAAAGTTGGGGATGAGCTTGGCCTATCAGCTGGACAGCAATCTGGCAGACTGCAAGAGCAGTGTAGATTTCCAGGCAAATGTGCGCCCGCAGACGGCTCGCCATTGGCACTGCACTGCAGGCCTGTTTTGGGGCACAGCTGTTTGCACGTGCCCTTCTCCTGTGATGTTGATTTGCCTCCTCTTTGGCATAAGCATTTGCCGAGCTCTTGGTGTCTGCCCTGCTTTCTCAGCGTGACAGGTTCCTGAGTTTTTGCAGCAAACTGGTGGGCAAGGTTTGGTGAATATTTACATTGCCTAGGTTTACAGGATGAAACCTGTAGTACTCTTACCACTGGATTGCCCAAGCATTTTGCAATGATTAAGCAGCTCTTGCAAGCCCGCATGAAGTAAAAAGATAACAATGCCCTTACTGAAGCTGAGTGAAGAGGAAGATTAAGGAACTTAATGTCTCAATGAATTGGGAAGGAGTAGGGCATCCTGTTCAGGGGAGTGGATGCCCTGTCCCATTGCTCTTCTAATCATGTGTCTTCAGCAAACAGGTCAAGTCCCTGTGGATTCATGGTATTGTCTTATCTCTCCTTCCCTTAGCTGGTGGTGCAAGCAGGTCTCTTTCATGGCAATGAGATGCTGTGCAAGACAGTGTCGAGCTCTGAAGTGAATGTGTGCTCAGAGCCAGTGTGGAAGCAGAGGCTGGATTTTGATATTAACATCTGTGATCTTCCCCGTATGGCGCGGCTCTGCTTTGCCCTCTATGCTGTCATCGAGAAGGCAAAGAAGGCACGTTCCACCAAGAAGAAGTCCAAAAAAGCTGTAAGTAAAGCCAGTGTGGGACTGAGCTGGGCTTGCCAGTGCTGGAGGGCACGCAACACCATTCTGAACCAAATGCCCTTTGCTTTCAGAAGACTTTATTAATAAAAGAGCTTACAGAGTGATGGCCAGTAACGTCTTCAACAGGAATAGGAAACTGAGGAATGGCTGCCTCTAGGAAAGGTTGTTTAAATGTAATTTCTTGTCCAGAAAGACCATTAAGAAGCATACCCAGTATCAGGATGCACATGAGGAATCATTTGTGTTAGTGTCTCTGTTTTGCTGTTCCGCAACTTCCTTGTTTTGTAGTTGAGGTTAAACCATCTTCTGTGTTGCATCTTCTTTCTAGTAAGTTCTTTCCTGCAAATCCCCCATGGACCAAATTAACAGCTAAGAAGGGGGAAGAAAATGAGGAATATAAACACTGGTTACAGCAAAGCTTTAGATAAGGTAAAAATGAAAGTGCACAATCCTCAAGGTTACTGTTCAGATGCTGCAAACTGAGGATGGAAAGTGCTAAATCGCTTTGGAAGCTCTTGTTTTGAGCTTCTGAATCAGAGATGTAGTGATATTTCTCACTTCCCTCATCACTATCCCAAAACTTCTAGTCCATTAGTAATTCAGTAACTAAAAGCAGATTTAAGTGCAGTCTGTAATTGAATTGCTGGTTTCCCAGTGTTGTAACTTAAGCATGATGCCTCTAGCTCTTTGCATGTGAAGAGTTTTCTTTATGAGCAACAAATGCATTTATTCCTCTGCAAATTATTGTTTCTGCAGCCATAAAAACAGTTACCATGCTTTAAACAGAGGATTAGTCATGCCATCTTTGCTAGAGTGCAGAGAAATGAGGGACTGATAAATGTGATCACAGAAGATTTTAGTCTCAGTTCTGCTAGCTCCTTTTCACTGCTGGGAGGTTCACTGAGCTTTGTTGTGTTGACAGCAATAGGGTTCTCAGGGTTACAGTGCATTAATGTCTGGGGAGCAACAGGCAACCCACGAGTCCTGCTTGTGTGGACCAGTTTTCTGGGTTGGAGACTTCAGACTGGAAACATTTGGAGGCCAGGACCGGGATCAACCTTTTTATTGTTGTTTCTTTACTTAACAATAACAGAACTCCAACTGCTGCTGGAGGCTTTTGTTGAACAGAATTTCTGATTCATTCACAGCCTGCGTTTTTGTGGTCACACTGGAAGGATTTTCAGTTTTGAAGCAGTCACAAGGAAATCTTGCTATTCTGATTGACAAAACAAAACCAGCCTGGTTAGCTGAGTTGTTAAGAGGATCTTGTTCATGTGTGTTCTGGTATTGGGGAAAGGTGGGTGCGTTCTGGTGAGCTCTTGATATAAAATCACGGTATTTGCTGGAGCTGAGCTTTGCAGAAGCGGATTTTTCCACATGGTCAGCTGCAGCTCTGCGTAAGGTGCCCAGATCTCATTTAAAATGATTGGTAAGAGGAGGTTACAGTCACAGTGGGCCCTGATTTTTGTTTTTTATTAATAATCTTTTTGCTTGCTTTGCTTATGGTACTCGGAGGTTAATTACATGCGTGTTGTTTGTCTGTGCAGACTGTCCAGAGCAGATAGGTGGGACTAACTCGTTTACCACCGCAAAAACAGGCATGCTTGCAGACTGAGATGAGTCAGAGGGTTAATGTCACCCAGAGGGTTGGCTTTCAATGTTTCTGTAAGTCATGCAGGAGATATTTCTGTCCTTACAGTGATGAATCGTTGCTTTGCTGGACCTTATCCACCAACAATCTTGCCTCGCGTTTTGGCAGGCTCTGTGCCGTGGTCTGATGTCATTTACTCTGTTAGAAAAGGTTATTGCTGGTGGTGGTATTTTGTTTGGCTTTTCCCTATGATCTAGAAGCTGATGTCTCAAATGGGATTTTACTGAAGATACTTAGTCTAATCGAATCAACTCGAAGGTTTGTGAAGAGGCCATTTGGAAGTGATTCATTTTGTCGCATTAGGGGAAAACGCTGACTTTGCTATCTCCACCAAGTCCTTTGGTGTACCTTCGGGGTAAGCCCGATACATTCTCTAGAATGTTTCAGTGGAACAAGAAGATGTGTCACTGTGGTTCCCTTCAAATATTACAGTTTGCGGGTGTGTCTCACTAGAATTTTGCCTCACCACCTCCTTGCAAGTCCATTTTTTAAGTGTGTGCTTAAGCCTTGGTGTTTTCTGCGCAGCTGAGTGAAATGCTGGTGTTGCTGAAACTGCTATATGAAGTAAACTGTTCCATTTGGGCAACCTGACTGCAGGAAATCTTAGGTCACTTGTGGAATAATATGTCTGTCTGTTCTGGTGGTGGGGAACTGGGTTAGAGCAGGGAGACAGGTTCTCTTTCTTGGCTATGTCCCAGTTGCTTTACTTGCTGGAGTTCCCCACCTCCAAAATGAGACTGGCTTGTGTGACTGGGTTGGGCTTGTGGGTTTTGTTTTGGGCGGTATGAGGGGGGACTGGCAGTGTAAAGTTTGATTTCTGTAGATAGTGTTTATTATCGTACAAAGGAGCCAAGCCTTTTCTTCCCCCTATCAGATATATCTAGTATTCTTTGCCTAGTTTTCTGAAGTTGTGCTAACTCTGTGTTCCCTATTTCAAAATTAAGGTTCTCCTCCCTCTTCTCAAACTGTGAAATATATGAAGTATATATGTCAAAGCTCCTTCAAACATCAAGTGTAGAGCTGTAAGGCCTTGCCGGAAACTTAAGAGATTCTTCAGCTACGCAAAATACTGGGTGATGAAGTTTTAGATGTATTTGTGGGGGGTGTTTGGTGCCATTCAGCACTACACAAAAGACCCCAGGTTTTGGCAAATATCTGAATTTGATGCCATCTTGCACTCTGGTTTTAGGAGAACTTAAAAACTAAGCAGACAGGCATGGCTACCTGGGGTGGTATGTTCTTTACAGCAGTTCTTTGGTGAGGGGGTGCCTACATACCCTCGAATGGGAAGTTACCTGCCTGTAGCATTCTGTGTAGCAATTTGCAGATTTGGAAAAGACCAAGATTAGCTAACGTCTTATTCCTGGTTATTGTGAGGGGTTTGTTTTGCATGGGGATATCTCACTTTCTTGTTAGTTCTTCTCTTACCTTCATCCAGCTTTTGCAGTTACAGCTCCCAAATGAGCTGCTTTCTTTGCTTTGCAGGACTGCCCAATTGCCTGGGTGAATGTCATGCTCTTTGACTATAAGGACCAGCTGAAAACAGGGGAGTGCTGCTTGCACATGTGGTCCTCCTTTCCAGGTATGTCAGGAGATAGTTTTGGTTTGTGTCTTTAGTCTCCACCACAATGACAGGAGACGCCCTGCACTCTGCATTGCTGCCCGCTAGTTTGTAGGAGGGGCTGTAATCGTTCGGACTAGCAGACCCGGTACGATTACCGTTCTGTATTGCGATGGCATCTAGAGCCCTGCCAAGATGAAGGCCTTGTTTTGCTTGGCATTGCACATATGACATAAGAGGTCGCTGCTGTCCTGAAGATGTCATGTATACTTTGCTCGTGAGAGGTCAGGAGAATGAAGGGAGCTGCTAGGGCCAGGCAATGTCCGGTGACAGAGCTGGAAGCAGTCTGTGCTCTGCTTTCTGGACCATTGCTTCAGAAGATTAGGGTTCATTGATTTACGCACTTTGCTTTTCAGATGAGAAGGGGGAACTTCTGAACCCCATGGGCACGGTACAATGCAACCCGAACACAGAAAGTGCAGCAGCCTTGGTCATCTGCTTCCCCAGCGTTGCATCGCATCCTGTGTATTACCCATCATTTGAGCAGGTAGGGGTCATGTACGCTTTTTTTGGGAGGCACAGAAATTCCCTAGCTTTGCTGGTGCAGGAGCATACAGCGTCACCATCTCTTGGGCGGCTGTCGACAGGGACCGGGTACAAGCAAACTTGATGAATAGATATTGTTAATTGAAAATTTGACTTTTTCTCTTAACTAATTGACCTTTGAGTGAATACTTTTCCAAGCTGTGAAGTCCTGTGAATTACTGAGGTAAAGCTGCTCTCATAGGTGAGCATTTGTTTAAATAAAAAGTGTTTAACTGAGGACTTTCAAACTGCAGGCAGCATTAGGCTATAGGAAGGAAGAGGAATAAAAGAGGAAATGAGTGAAAGTAGACAGCTCCCTGCCTTTCAGCACAGAGTGATAACATGCCATGTGGTATGGGGATTTTCCATCTGTCGCTGCAACTGGCCAAACACTTCAAGTGGAGGAAGAAATGTGCCTGTTACAGGAAGGAGAGGAGATCTGCTCTGCCAGGGACATACTCGCATGCTCTCCCATGATGCATGTTCTGGCTCAGAACCTTTAACAGATCGTGCCAGTGTGCAGCGCTGCCTGCTTGCCAAACACACGCCAGTTCTAAGAATCTGGAATGGCTCGTGTCAGCCTGGAGCTCGGTGACCCAGAGCCCCTGTTCACAAACTGTATGGGTGTGCAGATGTGCCCTTTCAGGGGGAAGGACTCATGCCTTCAGTCTTGTTACTACCAGGGAAGGGGCTCTACGGGCAGTTAGGTTACACCTCTGAGCAGAGGGGTACACCGGTTAGGTACGCCTCTGAGTACATTACCTACACTCGGGCCATGAGAGGCGTGATTCCCTTCTCCAGAGGTGCCCAGTGACTGATCTCTAATGCAGCACAAATGCCTGAAGTGTTGGTGAGCTAGAAGTACAGAGGAAATGAGGAGCCTTTCTCAGACTCTTTATTTGTGTCCCAGCTGCTGGAGTTGGGGAGGACTGGAGAACCACCCCGCGCTGCACCAGAAGATCCTGAGGAGGTGAGTCTTCTGGCATCAGTTTTTCAGCCACGTGTAGGCTGTGTGCAAGCCTGGTTTCATAGATCAAGTTATATGTTTCTGCCTTAACCCCAACCAGCTTTTTTCAGCAAATTGGGTCTTGCCACAGTCCTACAGGGTCTCTCTGGGCTGAGCAAGTCCTCTGGGTTGAGGCTGAGCCCTGTGTATGCTCTTCCCTGTGATTCCCATGAGCAGAAGCTGCAACTGAAGGAGATACTGGAGCGGAGGAGCCACACTGAACTGTACGAGCATGAGAAAGACCTGGTGTGGAAGATGAGATACGATATCCGTGACCAGCACCCACAAGCTTTGGCAAAGCTGCTTATCATCACCAAATGGAACAAGCATGACGATGTTGCCCAGGTGAGGATGCTGGGGTTGGCAGCCAAGGCTCCCCTTTTGATCCGTCTTACAGTGTCCACATTCCCATGTGGTGTCTGGGAGGCCTGCTTAGCAGGGGATGTTTTGCAGTGCCCCTGTGCAGGTAGGTTTGGCATCACTGAGGCTGAGAAAGATTTTTGCTGTTCTCAACCTGGTCGCTGTGCACATACGCTGGGTAGTACCCAGATGAGGTGAGGGTTGGCTCTTGTGGGCTCTGTTTAGCTCTGTGTGCTGTCCCTACAAGGTCTTGCTTATTCCGTCTAGAAGCTGGAGGCAAGAAAAAAAAAATCTGTTTAATTTATGTCAGGAATAGGATCTAGATTGGGTATTCTTAACTGATAGTGGGAGACCAACACAAGCTGCCTTGCGGGGGGGTTGGTGAATCTGTTCCACTGAGAATGTCAGCCAGCAGGTAGGGATGGTCTCTGTGCTGCTCGTGAGCAGCTGTGCTTACTTCAAGAGCTTTGACAGGACCTTCTAGAAGTCCCTTTCTAGTCTACATTAGTATGCTGCAGAAAAGTGCTTTTCCCAAAGAGCTTTTTCCACTAATTGTGGTACAGCAAATGTAACCCTGCTGTGGACTTGGATGGCTCCTCCTGTCAGCCGTCCTAGAAAGTTTAGACTGATGTTTTGTGAGCTGGTGTCTGCAAACTTGCTCTGAGGCATCTATAAATAGTGACTTAAATAGAGGGTTTACCCCCTACAAGGGAGCTGCTCGTCTATCAGTAGACTTTTAGATTTTTTTATCCATTGTCATAAAAATCTTGTTCCTTTTTTTTTTTTTTTTTTTCTTTTCTCCCTCCCCCCCGCCCTTACAGATGATTTCCCTGCTTCAGACCTGGCCAGAGCTGCCTGTGCTGAATGCCTTGGAGCTGCTGGATTTTAGCTTTCCCGACCGTTATGTTGGTTCCTTTGCTATCAACTCATTGAAGAAGCTGACGTAAGTGTTCACCAGTAGGGCTATGCAGAACCCCTTTCTGTTCATGTTTAGGGCTGCTGCAGGGGGGCCCGTGAACAAGGCTGACAGTCTTGTCTTTACAGTTTTTGCAAGTAGATACTGCTTGTTGCAGTAGATAAGGTTTTCTTTTATTTTTTTTCCTTTCTGTCCACAGGGATCATGAATTATTCCAATACCTGCTACAGCTTGTCCAGGTGCTTAAGTATGAATCCTATTTAGACTGTGAATTAACCAAGTTCCTGCTGGACAGGGCATTATCCAACCGCAAGATCGGCCACTTCCTCTTCTGGCATCTGAGGTAAAGAGCAAATGTTTTGGGCTTTTTCTCAGTAATCAAGTGAAACCAGCATTTACTGGTTTCCTCATTGCTCTGTGAAGTGAGACAGCAAGCATGTCTGTATGTATAGGTGCCAGGGTATTTATTTAAAGGCTGTTGGCTGTCCTTTAGCTAGTGTCTTCCATCAAAACATTGGTGAGATTTCCTGCTGTGATTATCAAAACCCAGGAACTGCTGTTTTTTACTTGGGCAACTGAATAAAGATTATTCCAGGAGGACACACAATCTTTGTTTGTTTGTTATTTTTTCTTTTGTTTTGGTGTTGGTGTTTGGCTTAGGTTCTGTTTTCAGAATTTTATATATATAAAT